CCCTAAACCCTAAAACCCTGAAGGACCCCAGAACAACTCTCCGGCTGCCTTTGGGCGCTTGGATGGATCGACCCTGAGGCTCAGGATTCTCGAGGCGAGTTTTGGGTTTAACAGGGGTCTAAAAGGAATTATATAGGGACTACCTAANNCTAAACCCCAAAAGTATGTAAAACCATAGCCCTAATACCACAATAATAGCCATAAAGGCCATTATTTTGCATACTTTTGGGGCCCCGGTAGGTGGGGTTACAGACGGGGGGCTATAAAAATTCTACAGGGATTATGTAGGGGTTATATACGGTTTATGGGTGTGATTGAGGGGTCCCAGACTTGTTGTGCCCTGTTAGAATTTCACCAGGCTTCCAGAGAGACGCTCAGAATGTGTCATAGACGTGCTGCAGTGAAGATTGGTTTGGGAAACAACTGCTGGGCTCCTACGCAACAGGGGATTCTCAAGGTAATTAGCTTGGTTCCCCATCTTTTCTCTACCAACTGATGCCTTAGCAGTTGTATCTATATTTGTCAGGTCCAGTGCCCAGAACGACTGGCCCCCCAGCCGATGAATAAGGTAGGGAGAGTTTAGAGAGGGTATTTGCGAGCGAACTAGCGATTGGCGACGTCATCCGCGCATAGGACTGAGAGAAATCAGCGAGAATTTGGCGATCCCACTCCTTGATGACCTGAACACGTTGAGAGAAATTAGCGAGAATCTAGTGATCTCAGTCTTTGACCTGAACAAATTGAAAGAAACTAACGAGAAATTAGCGAGCGAGCAATTCGAAATTAGCGAGAAATTGCCTTTGACCTTCCCTGCATGTATGGAGCTGGGGCAAGCGGTAATCCAAAAGAGCCCACATGGCTGTGCAGCTGCAGGCACCCTGACAAACGTGCGGAACGAGGCCGGGTCGGGTTGGGTGACTTGGATAGGCCCACGGCTTCGGTTTCAGGTCTTTACAGTCCCAAATCTGCAGCTTTTCGCCCAAAACGCGGGTTCCCACCCCAAAGCTTGAACCTTCAAACTGTCACCTCATGTCAGGCCCGTTCATATCAAACTGGAACAGATTGGTAGGTAATTCGTGGACGAAGGCCGGGGCCCGGCGTGAGCGCCCAATAGAGCCAGCCTCGTAATTAACACAACTCACTCTGGTGTATCAAATTGGCACCTTCCCCTGATCATACCTTTTCTTTGCAACCCCTATATCAATATCAAAAAGCAGTCTTGGAAGAGGCTTCCGAATTCGGCCGACTAAGCTCCAAGCTCTTGACTTTGGAGCCTAAGCCCTCCGGGAATGATTTCGAATTGTCCTCAATAGGAACTTCTTTGATTTCCTATATTCCCCGAAAGAACTGAGGGGTGAGATACCCTACTCTCCCTGTAATTGCCATGTGTCCCTACAGGGTCCTAAGCATACTCCTACTCTGAGGCAGACCTTTTTCAAAAGCTCCTACGCTGAAAAACCCCGCGCGCAAAATCCTGAATCCAGAAACTAAAGCCCTACTGGCTTGGAACCTACTAACGGAAGCCTTATACAAGTGCAGAAGCCCTCCTGGCTTGGAACCTAAATCCCCAAACCTAAGACTCATGTAGAATCTCCTAAATTCCCAAAACTCTCGCCAAAGATTGCCTTCGGCCTGGCTGAGATGAAGATGAAAGAGCTGTTTCCTGGCTTTCTAGCGAGCGGTTCCGCGTTTGGGGAATAAGGTTTAGGGCTGAGGGGGCCATTTGCTAGCAGTATGTCCAGAGTTTGTGCACAAAAAGGACTGAGGCTTGAGAACGGTTAGGTATCGGCGGGCATGGGGCTACGAGGGCTGAAGATCGGGCCTGGAAAGTTTGCGGCTTCAGACAAGACTCAAGTTCTGATAAGGCTAAATTTTGCAGTCCCTGATATTTAGCTAAGTCTTTTATGGGTTACACTGATTATGCTCGCCTGGCTTGGAATATGCGGCGCACCCAAACAATTGTCATGTTCTAAAAACTCTATCTTTCGCAGTTCTAGAGCTTAGTTCTGCTCGTTGGGTCACATGATTCACGTGGCATACACCAAGGTACTGAGATTTTTCAGCAATTTTTTAAGCAGGCAGAGTTGCCTTTATCATCTGGGCGACCTTCTGCAAGCCGTTTGTGTTGGATACCTTTTGCGAGCTTCAGAGTTTCTTGAAATTACATGAAAGGTTCAAATCAGCTCCAGCCTGTGAAGCAGTTTGTTGAGAAAGCCCCGTGGCCATCCTGCTGTAAGGTCAGAAGCTTTGTGGGGCTTCGCAGCCCTTCAGTTCCGAGATGAGGACATGGATCATTGCCGTCCTGCTTCTTGTTCATCAACGACCTGCCATAAAGCCTTCCTTCAGCCCCTTCTAGCCCGAGGCAACCCAAGGGTGCCATTATGCCGTTTGCCCCAAATTTTCATATGCACCGCATGCATTTCCCCTCCTCCCCTCCCTAAAGCCTCATCCCTGGGCCCTAAGCAACTCCTAAACCTGCGGCCTTTTCTCCGTCAAGCCCAGCGCATGCGTTTTCGCCTTGCGCGTCTGCCACGGCGGCTTGTCCCCCGGCCGAGCTTTTTGGTACTGACTGGAGTAGATTTGATTGAAATGGATGGATTTTAACATGTTCAGGGTTCAGGATTTTGAAGGGAAGTTGTCTGTAAGTTTGAGTTTGAGTCTCACTTTCAAAAAATTGTCTTGGACTATTCAGACGAATCGGGCCTGGTCAGCTGGCCTCCTATCATGGTTGTAGCTTTCCTGAACACTTCCAAGACAATGCCAGGATAATGGCTTGAGGGCTCCGGTGTCAGGAGCAGTGGTACTGGAAATGCAGCCATGGCTAGAACACACGGCGAAAATCCGGCCTACAGCTCGTGCACCCCACGCCCCTGAGGCCTAAACGCACGAATACATATACCCAGAATTCAGATTCCCTCAGGACAGCTTTAATTCCTCTAGACTCTACACCCTCAATCTTTAAAAGCCTCAAAAGCCCATCAAAACCCGCAAGCCCCACAGGTCCTACGCCAAAATGCTTCTTGCCACCCAAAGCCCTAGGTCCGGCGCCTTCCCACGATGACGGCCATGGAGCTCTTCTCCGAGAAGCAGCTCTCAGAGCCGCCATTCAGCCAGGCACTGCAATGGGGGAGATATATATTATATATCTACATATATATATACATGTATGTGTATATATATGTATATATATCGGAAAACAAAACGGAAACTACTATTTAGGGTTTAGGGAGAGGTCATAACAGTAAGGGTTGCAGGTGAAGACATGTGTGAGCTTCAAATGGTCAGGAACAGGGAGGAGGATTTAGGGGGAAGTTTGGGCTTGAGGGCTTACAAAGACAATTCCTATGCAGAATCGTCCTGAATGAGGGCCGCTGGATGGTGTGTCCTGCGTCTGCAAGATTGCGTTAAAACTTTGGTCCGCATGCTTTTGTACTGGTTCGTGATGTGCTCCTTCAGGTCCTCAGACAACCCCTTTTTTGTGGTTGGGTCCGCCTAGGTGCAACCATAGATGACCATATGCTTTCTGCATCTTTGTGCAAGCTCCGCATCATATGCGGCAAGCAAATCTCCCGACCCCTAAACGCCATCTTTTCCTTGAAGGAGACCCAACCCAATTTTTTCATAATTTTTTGCCTGGATGGACCAGCCAACATGTGCAACTCCGAGGCTCACATGTTTGAGGGTCTGTCAGACGAGCAGAAGAAGAGCATCATCAGGGACCGCGCTGCAGCCTTCAAGCCGTTTCCCATTATACGCAAAGGGCTCTGCGCAGCTATTTAAGGGCAGATAATGGCCATTTGAAATGTGATTACGCCCCTGCCACCAGAAGGAAATCGGAAAGTCTGCAGTGTGATTATTTTGAAGTATCGAGCTCTGTTTAGGCTTTGCAAGTTGAAACTTAGTTGAAGCTGAAGTTGGAAGCTTTGTGGATTCAAGCTTTCGGCTCCAGGGTGTGTTGTTTTCCGGTGCCCTCGGGCTGGCAATCCACCTCCTGCCAAGCACGCACGATGCGAATGTTAGGAGGCGACAAGCAGTTCACATGGCCTTATAGCACCCTTTGCGTTCGGGAGCTTCCTAGGGACTGTACAGGTCTTTGGGCATTTTGTTCGCGCCAGGACCTGGACGAGCTTGACGGGAAGTTGCCCGGAGGAGGCATAGTCCTCCTAGACTTCAAGAAGACTTTGTGCATTTTTGGACAAGTATTTCCTGCTGAGCCTTTGGGTTTTCATAGCTTGCGGTTGCTTGTGGACGTGGGAGCTGACATGTACTTGATAGTGAAAGTTGGGTAATACAGAAGTCGTGACTTGCTCGTGGCTTTCCGGGTTCTGAGCTCAGCAGGTCTCAAAGGCTACCTGGAGCGAGCCCGACAGCTCCTAGCAGATGCCAAGTCCGGAAAGCTTCCCAGCTGCAGCATTCAGACAAAGACATTTTCGGTAGCTGTTCGCACGAGTCCCTGTTGCTGCAGTCGATCTGAAACCCAATATTTCCAATACAATTCCTGCAAGTGCAGCCTCTCTGCCAATATTCTACTGGTTTCTTGTAGTGTTTGCTGCAAAGTCTGCATGGATCTGGGTGAGTTCCCCTGCTCAGGAACCCTTTCGAGGGACTGGCGCCGGAAGTTCCAAGTGGCGAGCGACTTACAGGCTCACTTGCGCAGCCGCCGAAAGTGAACTAGGGCTGGAAGAATAACAAAAAGCCCAAGCAGTCGAAGCATAATGGTTGAGCTGATTCGTCGTGTTTGGAAAAAGTGTGTTGTTCAGTGGCGATGCGGCTCATGGTCTGATAGGTTTGGTGAGGAAGGCTGGTGGAGAGATTGTACTTTTGATTTCTTAAATACTTACCCATTGAATCAGCCACCGCAGAGGTTCGTAATCCAGGTGCACCCGGGCATCGCTTCTGGACTTGAATCTCCTTTAAGCCAAGGCCCTACAAAGTGAATCTTGCGCGCACCAGATGCGTGAGAGCAGGCACTAGATATGCAAAAAGGAGCACGCTCAGAGATGGAAGCAGACTTTCAGACGGACAGTTGAGAGGTAGAGTAGGGGAGCAGAGCTGACTTCGCTGCGGTATCTTTCAACAAAACGCTGTTGCTTCGAGCAATGCAGGTGAGACGGGCCCTGGATCAGCCAGCTATGCTGAGTTCGAGAAGAAGGTGTGCTTGAGCATGTTGTCAGTATCTGCAACTAAAGAAGCACAGAAAATACACTTGACCCACACCTCATCTGCTTGCTCACATTGGATTTCAGTCTGTCGAAGAGCTACTGCAGACCACGCGTCCCATGAGCAAGACAGCAAACAGCGAAGCCGTATGTTGCGCGACTGCTCGTAATGTGTCATCAGCATTGCCCATACTAGATGAACACGCACGATCCAGGATTGTTAGCTTTGCAGGACGAGGCCTGTAGAAGAAAATGCGCAAAGAGATGGTCGCCGTGGGAGCTTGCGGATTAGCCAAGCCTACAGCTCAGGGCATGGAGCAGCTCGGCAAGACCTGTTTCTGCCTGGTCGCCGGTGGCCTCGGAGAGCGATTAGGCAGGACGAATGGCAAAGATTTGGGCCCAGGTGCCACTCAGATTTTAACTGTATATATGATCCGGGTCCTGGGGATTCACCCGCCTCCCCCAGCACAAACCTCTCAGAAGTGCCAGCAGTCACAGGGACGGGGCCCTTGGGGTTGCTATCCTCGTAACTGTTGTCGTTTTTGACTTCCCAGAGCTGCCATCCTTGTAACTGTCGTCACTTTCAGCTCCTCGTGCTTTCGTCGCGTCTCAAAGGGGCCAGCAGTTGTTCCAGGGATGGGGCCTCCTGGCATCATCACTTTTGGACCTTCATGCGCTCTTCACGTTTGAAAGGCACTAACAGTCATACTGTCGTCACCGAGACCTTCGTGTGGTTTTGGGGTCTGAAGGTGCCAACAGTCAGACGGAAGGGGGTTGGGAGGTTGCCGCAGAGCATGCTGTACTCCCCCGTCTTTGTGATCAGCATGTCTTGAGCTATGCCCTGGTGAGATGGGGATAGTCAATTCTGCAGTTCCGGTCTTCGACAGAACTGCTGGTGAGATGTCGTGACTTCGACATCCCACAAAATCAAGGGTTCTTAGTGTAAGAAGCCTACAGTTCCCGTTCCCTTCGCGTGAAACCCTAAATCTCCGGCATCTTGTTCCTGGCGTGCTGCATCTTGAACCCCACACGACCCAAAAGGTCATTCGCTTGGCTAACACTGAAGATCTTTTTTAAAGGGCAGGGTGAAGATGATTCTGTTTGCGATTTTAAGATGGAGCTGTACACCAGTCAGAAGGTTGGAGGTTGGCTGTTGCCAGGCTACCCCGGGATCAAGATCGGCATCACAGCAGAGCTCACCACGGGTGTGCCCTTTGGTCCCTGTCGTGCATGCATGAGCACAGGCCACGTCAACCTCGATTTGGAAGCCTCAAGTAACATAGATTTGCCTCAGGCTTTTCAACATGCTTTGTAGCCTTTTCTATCTCCATCCATGACCGGCTGTCACAAACCCGCAAACGCAAAGGCAAAACCGGCTGTCCACAATTGAGTAGGATTGCCTTTTCATAGAGTGAACTTGAGACTTCAAAAGGTTGGCTCATGTGTGGACTGAGGACCTTCATGGAGCTCTATGCCAAGTACATCTTGGCCTTTCAGGCTTCCACAGTGTGCTTGCTGCTCTCTTTGCCTGCAATGCCACCAATGCTAAGGAGCGATTCAAAGGCTTCTTCAAACAAGAGGCGTATCTTCGGTTTCCTAACATACATAGTAGCTTTGAGGGTGCTTTGGGCAGTCCATGTGGTTTATGCAGAACGTGGAGGCTCGATCTTTTTTCCGGGCATGAAGTTCTTCGGTCTGATTTATTCGTACCAAACCAGACGGGAAGGCCGGTATTTGAGGAGCATGGCGTTTCTTGATACCTGCGAGCGCGCGGAAGTTTCCGCCGCTGGGATAATGAGACTAGATTGCTTGTAGGGCTGACAGCCAGCAATTCCAAAAACAAGCGCATATGTGGCGATCTTTCAACAGGTAAGCTTCATCATGGCAATTTGGATACGCAATCGCGATGGTGACCGTCAACACAGCTATGTACATTTCTTTTTGAAGGGCGTGTTGTAAGAACCTCCTGGGATCGAAGCTGGCGTTGCCTCCACAGGCGTATGCTCGAAAAACGACGGGTGACGCCTCTTTGGAGCTCCCGCTGGCGATCATGACCTCAGGTCTGACTGGCAGACAATGTGTCGTGGGGATTTAATGAGGGGTGCAAGGGCTGAAGTCACCGTG